ATACAGCGTGGCCCCAACCTACTGTTCCAGCATCAATTTCAACAACATAAACTCTGACTCTAAGTGACTGACTTGAACACACCTGAACATCTCTACTGCCATACTTCAGCTTAAGATGCTTAGACTTCATTGCAAAGGGTGCCCTCCATTCTTAGTGCTACGTATTTGAATTTTAGCCACACTTCACAGTACAGGTCAAGTTCTACTTGTGCTGAAGTACCCTCCCTTGCAATCTTATCCCAACCACTCTGTGAGTAAAGTGTTAACTAACCTCAGGGCAGTGCCCATCTGGGAGGACCTCAGTCCCCCACAGGGCTATGTCCTTGAAAACTGCATGTGGAACTTCCCCTGGTCTGCAGGAGCTGAGACTTGGTCTTGGGTCTACATGACTAGAATGGTATAAAATCCTGGTGGGAAAGAGAGGCTGTGCCTTCTCTGCATCAAAGAGACTCATCCTCACCTTGACTCCTGTCTACGGCAGCTGTACATGTCCCTGTGTGGATGAGGGGACAAAAGAAGCTGTGTACTTGGATAACTGCTGTGCCTCCCAATGAGATGAAGGTGCTATTCCTACTTTATCTCTTGCCTTGTATCCTCCTGTAAAGCTAAGTAAACATAGTTTTTGCATCTAGAACTTGTAATCGCAGCTGTGGTATAGCACACACACTATCTCTCTGGATACCAAAGCATTCACAGGCATTTGGAACTGACATTGGTAAATATGTTTTGCAGATTCATATTTCAGCTGGGTTCGCTTTTTATCAACCAGACTAAATGCTGCCTGTAATAAGGCTTGAAAGAAAGCTGGGTACTCTGGTCTATAGGAGCCAGAGGCAACTTTCAGCAGCAACAACCTCCTTCTGGAATTAGGGTTCTGAGTCTTTTGAGGAATTAGAAAGTGATTTTGGGACTGTTGGCTCTAAGATAGAAAAGCAAGAAGATTTAAAATTTCCAGAATGAATATGGATAGATATATGTTTAAAAAATAGATACATATATGTATAATATATATATATATATATATATAATGTGTGAATGTGTATATGTACATACACACACATACATATTTTTAAGTCTGAAAGCCATACAAATTTCAGGGTCAAATGGTAATTAAGCACATGCTAAAACTCCCCCACCATCCCAGGCTCTAGTATAGCTTAAAGATACTAGAAAATACTTTTTAATATTTTTAAATTTATATAAGGCCAAGCTTAAAATCAGGCAACAGAAATCTCTAGGTGTCAGATAACCACAGGAGAGAGGAGGCACAAAGCTCGCATGCCTGCTAGGGGTCTGGAATAGGCTATGTGCCAAGGGATTTGTTTAAAAGCCCAACATGGCCAGACTCAAAGCGGCAGGGCCCAAAGGCACAATAAAGACCTGTAACCAAGTTCCCTGAGTGAAGTCTGCAAATGGTAAGTGCATATGGGAGGACGTGATCTACATAATCAGTCAGAAACAGACAGACAGAATGTCAAATTGAAACATGAATGTAACACATGGTCAGAGCTATCACATCCCAGAGTCCAGGTAGAGACAACTGTAAAAGCACCTCAGTAGACGGCCTCCACAATCCAAGGCACACGTAGGCAAAAAGACCCCATGATAAGTCACTCCTTTGGCAAATAAACTTACCAGCAAGAATTAGAAGCCACGTGAGGAAATCCAGTACCCCAAAAGGCAGAATACTAACCCAACAAACAGGAAAAGTCATGGTTGAGCTACTAAAGTTAATAGGAAAATCTGAAAAGGGCTTTAAAAGATATAAATTTAAAATAATGTATAGCTTTTGAAAAATTCAAACAAAACAGAAGTGCAGAAAGGATAAGTTTCCCCATAATCTCAACTCCAGATGTAAACCGTTGCTCAAATTGTGGGATAAACGCTCCCAGACTTGGTGATGCCTTTATACAGAGAAAGACATTTTTAAGCAAATGGTAACATGCTATACCCACTGTGCAGTAAACTGCCCCTCTCTTCCCCTCCCCACTTTAAAATCACATACATTTTCCCACATGAATAGAAACAGGTTTCCTGCCTCCTTACAAAGGAAAAATTCTACTGGATGAATACACACTGTTTCTTCAGCCAGTGTCTGATGAATGGACATTTGGGTCATTTTTAATGTTTCTGTATTACAAACAGTGCTAAGGTTACCATTTTCCTGCACATCTGGATGATTATTTCCTTAGGAAAAGTTCCTAATGAGGGAATTATTTGTCCAAAAATTACTCACTCTTAAACTCCTGAAACTACTATCAGACTGTCCTCCAGAAAAGCTGTACCAATTTACATTACTAAATGGCTTTCAATGCATGCATTTCTAGCCAGAGGATTTTTTTTTTTTTTTTTTTTTTTTTTTTTTTTTTTTTTGTCCAAAAATTACTCACTCTTAAACTCCTGAAACTACTATCAGACTGTCCTCCAGAAAAGCTGTACCAATTTACATTACTAAATGGCTTTCAATGCATGCATTTCTAGCCAGAGGATTTTTTTTTTTTTTTTTTTTTTTTAGATGAGCTTAGTGCAGGTCAAGTTACCAGATATTCAATTGCCCACCCAAAGGAAAAAAAAAAGAAAGATGACCCACAACTCTACTAGCCCTCCAGATACAACAGAAGAGAAAATGTAAATGTGTTTGCACATGCACAAAACAGATTCACTTCAAAGTCTGTGGTACAGAAACTCAGGGTCTGTGACACTGCTGGCATCCTGGGTAATGACACTATGGTACTTTGAACTCTGTTCCCCTAACAACCACATTGTCATCTAGTCCTCTGTGAAAATAATGAACAATTACTTTGTTTAAGTCTTACTAAAATTTCTAGTCTATTCACCCCTAAATATGCTGTCAATGTGAGAACCCCCAGAATCTCCTTTAAACACCATTTGTTTTGGGGGTTCCATTGTAGATGATTTGGATAAACTCATATATATCTGGCTTCCAATATATGATCTATTCCTGAGGAAATGTTCATTATAGACTTCTACATTCTCAATGAAATATGTTTTTAGCAAAGCAACTATAAAGCGATCTAGGATCCAAGACAAAGTGTTACTGACACAAAAACATAAGATTTACTACAATATCACATATTCAAGATAGTTCAGAAGTAATCACATCATATCACATTTGAATCAATTTTTTTTTTTTTTTCCTTTTTGTCTTTTTTTCGTGACCAGCAACGGATCGCAACTCTCAGTGTCGCGCCCGTACCGGACCGGGACCGGCCACGGGATCGCAACCCTCGGTGTTGCTCCCGCCCCTCGCTCAGCCAGTGAGCGGCCGGTCTGTATGTGGGATCCGAACCCTCGGCGGGAGCGCCACCGCGCTTCCCAAGCGGCGCACTATAGCAGTGCGCCACCGGGCCAGCCCATGAATCAATTTTTTATATTACCAATCTGTTTGCAAATAAAACAGATATAATCTATAAATGTTTAATTAAAGTTGAATTAAAATCAGGCAAATATCAATAATGAATTTTTCTTGTTTCTCTACTCTAATTTGTAATATTTTAAGCATCCTTTTGAAAAGATCCTACTCAAACTCTATTTATCTTCCTAGATAAATAAGACCCTTAATACATTTTTTCCCTGGCTCTTTCAAGGTGCCTGTGTAGCACCAAGGAATTACCAGGTTTAGATGTCCTAACAGAATCACTTATTTCCAACTCTGTTCAGAAACAAAACTTCTATGATAACCAGCCAATTTCCTATGAGGTACAATTTCTCTGAGCTAAAACATCTAGTGCAAGATACCTGCAATATCTTCCTCATTAACCATCCCTCATTCTCTATCACACATACCCACAAAATTAATGTCACTTTTAATTATCCGCACTAAAGAAGGGAAACAACAATGGTAATTATTCAAAACTGTAGAAAAAGCAAAAGAATTCATATTTTATTTTGGAAGACATTATTTGGAAAAGAAGGGAGGTGGTTATTATACAACAGCAAAGTGAAATTTCTACTTAAGATTTTTCTTGGGTGCTCACAACATGTGCTTTCCAAGGCATGCATAGATTCACTTACTCAACAAACATATAAAAGGAAATTCTCTTGCAGGGAATACACAACAGAAGAAACCAAATGCCATATGAAGATTAATTTCCAAGGAAAAAACTAATATGAACCTCTTCAACACTGTGCCCCCAAAACAAACGTCTTCACTGATTTCAGACAAATATACATATAGTGCCAGTTCCATTGTAGAAAACCTTTATAAGAGGCCATCCTTACCAAAGAATCACCTACCCCTCAAAACCCACATTTTGGTGTGCCTTTACTAATGTCTATTTTGTCAGTTTTATGATGCATACATTTAGGCTAAAGACTATGTAAAGAACTAAGTATACTACAGCAAAATGGAACAATTTTATCTTCCATCATTAGGGTCCTTTTTACTATTGTCTACTTCATAGGATTGTTACAGGAACATGATAAGCCAGTACATCAAGAGTCTTTTAAATAGTACCCGGAATATATGTATATGTTTCATAAAATATTAATTATTATTAATTAACAGAGTTTATAAGCAAAAACCTCTCATATCCATGCAATACCAGGGCTTTTAAAAAATTCTTACACAAACACGGAATCATTTGACCTGCTCAACCTCATGGAGGAGGTAGGTTTTACGATTCTCACCCTGCAGATGAATAATCTGAGATTCAGAAAGTTACATGACTTGCCCAACATCATCAAGTGATCTATCTGAGCCTGGCAGCTGAATCTTTTAGCTTTAAGTCCAAGGCATCCTCTGTAAACCACAGCTCAGAGCCACATGCTATAAGACTGGCCACAAATGTGTTACAATTTCATTTTAAAGGGAATGCAGTCAATAGATTCATTTATCAGTACTTAGCATCAAGATGCAGTGTTCATTTAACTGGAGATACAGTGGTAATTACTGAAAGCGCGATCAGTTCTCCTCTGTGGCTGGACCACAACATATCAAAGTGGCAGCTTTAGAATCTCCTTATTAACTGGATTATTACCTACCTTAGCTGTCTCAGCCTCTGCCTGCAGTCGCTTAGGGGTTCCTTTTTGGTCAGGCACCTTCTGGAAATTTTTGTTTTTAATGGATTGAGATTCCACACCTTCACCTTCAATTTGCAGTTTAATACCTTCAGCACGGGCAGGGTGATCAATACCCCGTGGATTCAAACCACAGTGGAGAGCTAGGAAAGAGGAACAAACAGAACTCAGAAAACAAATCATATGAAGAAGGTGTCCATGACAGTAAATATTTCATCAGGCCTCAGTGGGAAAAAATAATGCTCGGGCGAGTTGAGAGGTGGTGTGATAACCAGGGGAAATAATATGATGAGAAGGGAGCTTGGAAATTGGAAAGACTTAAGTGCAAATCCAGAAACCGTCAGTTTCAAGTTGTTTGACTTTGAGCGAGTTACTAATCCCCACCTTACAGATGAGAATACCAAATCAGGCAACTTCATTACTGCCTCCCATACATGCAATTATTTCAACGTCCACAGTTTAGTTTACATTTCTGCCTCCATCTGGAAAGTGCTCCCTTCTCTCCACCTCAGAACATTCTCTATTCTTTAAGCATCCACTCAAGTCCACCCTCTTGCATTCATTCAACCAATACTTATTGAACATTCATTATGTGCCATCGCCAGGTTAGATCCTGGAAATATGGATTTATATATGCAAGTGTTACTCAAAGAATTCACAATCTAACAGAGGCAGACAAAAGAACTGGGGACTTTAAAACAGAGTTACCACTGCTACGTGGAAGAGAAGGAAAAACCAGAGTGGCGGTTCAAGGAGTCAAGTCCAGTAGCTTCCCAGTTTATCTTACTATCTCCACGTCCTTTAATATGGACACCCCCACAAACAAAATCTAATGCTCATTTTCTGGGGACATTCATTCATTCATTTATTCACATACTTACTGAGCCCCTCCTATGTATCTGATATTACCAGAGAAATAGCAGCGGATATTATGAGAACCATACATTCCACCTAGATGACTTCCATGAATAAGCACATGTGTGTGCATGTGTGTGTGTGCATGCATGTCTGTACGTGGCAGGTATGTGTGTTTTGACTTCTCTGATAGTAAATCATTTTGTCTCTCTGTGACCCCAACCCTTCAAATTAACTCTCATCTCATTCCCTTCCCTTTGGTCTCAGAGGATTGAAGTCCAGATACCTAAATCCCCTCCCTGTGCACCCCCACCAGGACTCCACTTCACTGATATTTCCTTTTACTCAACATCTTCAGCTTTCCCCTTTCCCAGCATTTTTCCCTTCTAGCCAGCTTCTACAATTCTAAAACTCCTACCCTCTGCTTGGCAACCCATTTGGGGCCTGGTTTTCTCTTGGTCCCATCTTTGAAGAATGAGGAAAGGCTTCCCAGATGAAGTCAGGCATTTTCTTCCTACTCTCCACTCCCTCCCTAACACGCTCCATCCATTCTCAGGCTTTTGATACAATCAACATGCCAGTGACCAAATTTTAACTCCAGCCTAGACAGACCTCTCATATGAGTGCTAGAAAGAAGTAAACTGCTACTCAACATCCCATTTCAATGCAAAACACATGACTTGACCTTAACATGTTCAAAAATGAACCTTGATTTTTCTACAAAAAAATATTTTCCTACTTCAGTCTTCCCCAGTTGCACAGAAACCATGGAGTCAGCTTTGACATCACTCTCTCCATGGCTCAACACATCCCTTCCGTCTGTCTCCCAGTCCAACAGCTCTACACCCAAAATACTGCTTCAATCCATCCACGTCTCTCCATCTCCACTGCCATCACCCTGGTCCACGCTGTCCACAACTCACACCCAGACTGCTAAATTGCTAACTAGTCCAACCACACTTCTTCACTTGACTTCGTAAGTCCTATTGAAAAAAAACTTCACACACACACACACACACACACACACACACACACACACACACGTGTCATATCATGAGATTCTTTTGCTTAAACTTTCTAATGTCTTTGCTTTACACTTAGGTCATTCAAAAATCTGTAACATGGCCAGCAAGGCTCTGTATTAAGTGTCCCTTTATACCTTCCCAACTCCACCTCCCACCATGTTATCCCTCATTTACTACACTCCAACCACACACTTCTTTTCCTTGAACACACCAAATTCTTTCCCACCCCGAGCTTCGTACCTGTTTCTTTGCCTGAAATGATCATCCTTGTTCTTCACCTGACCTCTCCTCATCCTTCAGATTTCAGCTTAAATACCGCTTCTTCAAATACGTTTTTTTGAATCCCCTCCCTCATCCCCACCCCTACACCTACCCCATGTGCCTGGAATAGTTAAGTACCCAACAAATACTGAATAAATGATCTAAAAAACCTGATTGTACAAAGGTCCATATGCACATGATCTTATTTCTACCATTTTATATGGATGTTATTTGTGCATTTCTCTTCCCTTAGTCTCTAAGCTGCCTAAAAGCAAGGACCAGCCATTTCATGGTGCATAATAGGCACCCAGCATGTACCATCTCTTATCTCCTCCCTCAGGCTTTGTTCTGGATCTCAAATAACCTTCATGAAAAACTCGGAGAGGCATAATTATACTCATTTCACAGATAAGGGAAATGAAGCACAAAGGGGTTATAGTCACAAAAGGTCACACAGGTGTCTGCAGAAGGTCACCATAGACATGGATCATTTAGGATGCACAAGATTTCAAGTTACAGATGGGCGAATCCAAACCGGATTAAATAGTAAGGAAAATTATTAGCTTTCACAACAGAACGTTCAATAATGGTATAAGTTCATGAGTTTTGGAGGTGACAAATATCCCAAACCACAGCAGGAACTAACCACAATACTCACTTTTGGCAGTGCTGGAAAGAAAACTCAGTAGTCAACACCAGTAAGAACATGAGGCTATTTACTGCTAATATCAATCAGCTTCTCCATCACCAAAGAAGCTACTAGAGCAAGAACTCCTGGGCTATGTTCTCTCATGCACACAGTCCTCTGGTGCTTCAGCACCCTCATGGTATTGAGGGTATCCACCTACTTATCTGTCTGCCTCACCTACCACATGTAAGCTTCAGGGGGGCAAGAATCACCCCTTATTCATCTCCACGATCTCCACTCCTGAGTCCAAAATCTGGCACACAGGCACTGAAGAAACATTTGCTCAGCTTCAGAATGAACCAGCAATTTCCCCTCTTCTTATGATCACACCTTAAATCAGAAGTGAAGTTTTCTCTGCTAGTAAGTACTTGGTGTTCAAAATATAAGATATCTCTAAACAGGAGGAAGAACACAGGTTTTTGACTTTCTGCACACGTAGCCTTATTCTTCACACAAATATTTTAATCCTCCATTGCCGTTCCTGCCTTGACTGCAAACCTAGAAGTTGATTTAGGTTTTTGTGCTTGAGCTTATTTACTGAAAACCATTTCTGACAGGCTTTGCTTTGTTTTCCCTGAAATTTTGTGTCCCTAATATATACAAATCAAGCAACTTTCAAATGGCCTCTTACATCGCGTGATCTTCTTTGCTTTGTCAATCATGTAAAAGATGCCTTTGTTTGCTTTCTCTTTTCTGTCCTCATCACTACCCTTTCTTGTTTTCACCAAAGTTATTTACTGGATTAATGGGCTCAGCAGCTCCCAGGTGAGCTTCAAGACCCTCTTCAGACATTTCTCTGATCTTCCTGACCACTCCTGTGCCTAACCAATTTCTAGTTATTGAATTGACACAGCAGGTGGCTTGTGGTCTTACCTGAAATGCTGCACTGTGACTTTTATGTAATTTGAATGTCACTAATATTGAATTCTCCAAAATGAAGATTTAAGAACCAAAATAGATTTCTAAAAACGTTGCTCTTTTAAAAATTTAACATGGAAAATTTTCACTGCAAATACACATAGTTAACAATCTTTTCAGACGCCCTTTTGAAGGCACCATCTTTTTTCACGTGCAAAAACCCACTCCCCAGAAGTTGGAAACCAGTTTCATGGCTGGTGGGAATGAAAAGTGACATATCCCCTATGGAAACTGTATGGAGGTTCCTCAAAAAAATTAAACACAGAATTACTATTTGATCCAACAATTCATTTCCTAGGTATATACATAAAAGAACTGAAAGTGGGAACACAAATACATATTTGAGTATTCATATACATAACAGCATTATTCCCAAAGCCATTGGATGGATGTGTGGATAAACAAAATGTAATACATACATACAAAGAAATATTTTTCAGCCTTAAAAAGGAATGAAATTCTGATACATGCTGCAATATGGATGAACCTTGAAGACACTGTGCTAAATGAAATAACCCAGAGACAAAGGACAAATATTGTTGGTTCCACTTATATGAAATACTTAGAGAAGTTAAATCCATACAGACAGAAAATGGAACAGTGGTTTTCCAGGGACTGGGGGAGAGAAGATGGGGAGGAATTGGGGAGTCGTGGGTATAGTGTTTTACCTGATGAAAAGTTCTGGTGATTGTTACACAACAACGTGAATGTACTTAATGCCACTGAACCATACATTTAACAATGGTTAAAATGATAAATTATATATAACCACAATAAAGAATAAAATTTAAGAATAAAAACCCACTCCCTCTTATTTCAACTCCCTACAGCCTCTGTAAGGACAAAATTATCTTACTCAGCTGGGGGCCTCAGGTGCCAAGAGAAAAGTATGTAGATCATTCAAGAAAACTTTTGAATGAGTGAGTGGGAATATGTTCATGGGTATCAGATCACTGATGTTTCAATATGAAAATATATCAAGAGTACCAGAAATGTATGCCTCAGGAATATAGGCTTGGGTTAAGCTACCAGAAAAGGAGCACCATGTCTCCTTGGGCAAAGAAACCTGCCCAGCAGACCTCTGCTAGGACAGGGGTTGGTATGGCCCATGGACCAAATGCAGCCTGCCACCTGTCTTCATATGGCTTATGACCCAGGAATAGTTTTTACATTTTAAAATGATTGGAAAAAATCAAAAATAATATTTGGTGACACATGAGAATTATGAAATTCAAATTTCAATGTCCATAAGTAAAATTTTATTGGAACACAGCCATGTTCATTTTTTCATATTGTTTATTTCTGCTTTTGTGCTACAATGACAGAGCTGAGTAGTTCTGACAGAAACTATCTGGCCCTAAAAAACTAAAATCTTTACTAGCTGGCCCTTTACAAA